GAGGTCTTTTACGAGGTCTATATTTCATATATTGACCGATTATGAGAGCAATAATAGATTTATCACAACATAGCATACCTAAAACTGTTTTTGCTTTGCTATAGGAAGAAAGGAATACTATTGTAATAGTATAATAGTATGTACATATGCCGTTTACATTGGACATTACTTCTGTGTAAACCGAAGTTTTCAGTTGTCTCTTGTAGTATGTTCCCCAAGTTATTTGACTGAGAATCTGACAATTTGGGTTCAAAGTTGAGGAAAAAGTTCTAAGTCCTCGGGCTAGGTGGTCAATAATAGAGAGGTTTTGCATTCCGAATTTCGGAATTATTTTCGGAATGTGGCGGCAGCAGTCGAAAAAGTAGTCGAACTTTCGGAAGTGTGGTGGCGAAAGTGCATGGTTTTCCGAAAATGGATTTTCGGCTCTTTCATGTTTGGGAGGGCATATTTGAATACAAAAAAAGTGTATTTTTCAAGTTTTGTATTTTTGCTTTCTGCTGCTCTCGATTATTTGAAAATTTTGACTAATCTTCTCACACTCCATCACACTCTATCTTCCTTTTGAGCCTACTGACAGTACAAGACAGTTACGTGACTAGTTCGCCAACCTCGTCTTCAGCTGTTGGATCACTTGGTCCACCATCAGTCCGTCCTCGTCTTCGAACCGCACCCAAATTCAGTTTGACCTGTGCACATGGATTTGATCCTGCTCAGGGAGTCGTAAAATACCAGGTATTTTACGACTCCCTGCTCTCCATTTTGTTGTATTGTATTGTATTTATTTAAAAGGATTCTCCAAAAGCAAATGGATGCTTATCACGGAAGTCTCCCACATAAATATCGCAAGAAAAATGGGGAAATGGGGAGAGGAGAGTGAAAGATGAAGCATGGGAAGAAAGGAAACAAGTACATTTACCTAAATATCGAGGTATAAAAGCAGGAAAGAAATCGACGAGGGAAGAAATCACCTTTGCAGATAATAGCGGGACATTTAGATGAAAAAAAAACCCCAGCAAGGATTAATTTCAAGGAAAAAAAATTTCTCAAACGGAAAAGTTCGGAATTCCAGTCAGAGAATATCTATGCTGAGAGTAATGAGCCTTTAGAGCAATGTGAAAATTGACAGAGGACTGAACGCAGCGGATGAGTTCTGGAAGTTTGTTCCATTCCACAGATAAACTGAAGAGAGGGGATTTAAGGAAATGGGCGCCAGAACGAGGTAAAACTATAGAGGACGGGTGACGACAACTAAGGGATACATTGAATTTGAAACGACTTAGCAAAGACGGAAACTGGTAAAAGACATGATGAAAATACAGCAAGGACAGAATCTGACGACGCCACTTCAGGGATGACCAGTCACAAGTTGTGCATGGCAAACCTTGGAAACGAAGTCGAATCAGATTTTCGGAATGCAAAACACTGAAAATTCCGTTTTTCGGAACGCGCTTTTTTCGGAAAAGCAGTCGAAAATCATTCCGAAATTCGGAATGCAAAACCTCTCTAATAGGGAGGTTCCGGAGTACGATTTTTCGTGCCAAAATCCGTAGAGGCGCTACGGATTTTTATACGTCGTTTTCGAGCAGTGAAATGTTCCGGAGTACGGAACTTATGTGTTTGCCGTCATTGCCTAGGTTACGATCGCAAACACGTCACATTCCCGCGCCATGCCTTTTTATTTTTAAAAATTGTATCGAAATCAAAACTTCCCGCGGAAAATCGATGTTTCTCGTACCAAATTTGTACGCGAAAAATCTTTCTGCACCCGATGACGCAAAATCTCCATACGAAACATGGTTCGTGTGAAAGCCAGTCCACACGGATTATCCGTGCCGAAAAATCGTATGGAGCACGCCTGGAAAAAATCCGTAGCGCCCACACGGATTTTGGCACGGAAAATCGTACCCCGGAACCTCTCTAATAAATGGTCAATATAAGCGGTCAATATGTATGTGTTATTAGCCGAGTATCAGGGCAATACCGGCCGATATCTGCCCGAACGGCGTCAGCCGTGAGGGCAGATATCGTGGCCGGTATTGCCCGTACTACGAGGCTAATAACACATTTATTACATGCATACTTCCCTAATTTGATGTACTCATCAACGTACACTGCTTTCACACGTGGAATTCGGGATCATGGTACGAAAAACTACGAGGCACATGTATCCAACTGGTATTACATGCGCACCTACTTGTATGTGTATGTGTACAGTGTGTATGGGGTCAAATGCCGGGCAATATCGTGTAATATTGGACCGCCTGAGCGGGCTTGTATGGAGGAATATTGCCCGCTCTATCTGGTCGCTGATTGGCTGTAGACCTGGAAACGGTCACCTGACATGTAATAAATGCTGATATTTGACCGCTTACAGATCACAAGTTTCTGTGGGGGTCAATAATAAGAGAGTGATAAATACTTAGAAAACTTCATGGGAGATCTGGTATATGAGTGTGGGTGTATATGGAGTGAGGTAAAAGACACCGTCTACCACTTTGATGATGTAGGCAAAAAAGCATAGGGATGTTATAAATGGAGGTTTGCACATTGCAAACCGTAGTTAACATTCACGAAACCAACAAGCCAAAGGCGCCATGGCAACCAGTAAACGAACCCGCAAACATAACAATAATTAGAATAAGAAACAGAAAAAAATCAAGTTAGTGTGACAACAAATGCAAGGTTCCCTTTCCGGTGAAAGTGCTGCAACTGAGTGTGTCATTGCTGACCAACAATTTGTTTTCCCCACCCTCCACTCCCACTGTACAAGTATTACTCGTACACATGAAGGCATGTGGGGTTGGCGGTCAATCGCCTGCCCGCAGCTTCGGGCAAACACATGACACCGGGTTGTCATCGCAAAATGCCCCCAGAGGTGGCCTGGCACCGGGTTGCCCAGGGTGACCGCGGCCCACGACTTCAAAATGTTTCTCACCTTATCACTATTCCCTTGTTCCCTGATCATTGCCTTGGAACAGTATCACTTTGCTCTCAGATGTTTCAAAATTTGATTCGAATGATTAATAAATTTCGGGCACATGAAACCCCTCCAAAAAATACCAACCGTGATCCGTTGTTGTGTGGAGTGAATGTTGAATGTTTCGTTTCCCATATTTTTGTTCAAGACATAACCTAGAATTAGAATCCGCACTATCGCCCTGCATGCATTCTCCCTACACACTTAAAGTTGCCCTGCATGCATTCCCGGGACACACTAGGCATTCATACTCATTCTTCCAAGTTGCTTCACGTTATGATCTTGCATTTGAAAGCCCTATTTGAATATTGTGGCCAGCTGTCTTTGATGGTACGATACGGTACGGGACAGGTACCGGATAGCGCCAGGCATGCAGGAAGCAGAAACAAACAAACACGGGATTAAAGCTCTGTGGACCCTGGCTAGCGCCAGACTTCACTGAACGTCTTTTGCATAGCTACGGGAATAAATCAAATTACTCGTTCATACATTGTAAACAGTTTCCTCTGAGACAAAAATGCGATAATACTCATAAAAAGGACACATTGTACATGCATTTACCACAGAAACGTGGATTTTCAGAGCAGCAAGCAGCATACGGTAGTGGTGTGCAGACTGTGTGGGGAACATCAATGTTGAACACGAGAATAGAGTACAGTCCATTTCAAAACTATAGACGCGTAGGGTTTTGAAATATTTCAAATTTGGCTGGAACTTTTTGAGGAAAGTTTTTGGAATATTGCTCAGGTCCGCTCCACAATTACTCTCATGTAAATTCTGAACGATTGGATAACAGACACCCAATTTGGAAAAATTTATGCACAAAGTGATCACAGATTTTATGTGGTATAGATGCTGGCATAACGGTTTTTGCCTAGGTACGCGTCTATAGTTTTGAAATGGACTGTAGGCAGTTCCCAAATCGGCCGAAAACAATGGTTTCGAAGAAATCTCCAATCTTTTCGCCGGATGCGCATTGAATTCGCCGAAAATCGATATTTGATTGCCTCTACAGCATGCAGATAAGATTTCTGTAGCCATTATCTGCGAAAGGTGACAAGTATCGCTTCGAGCCAAATTCTGACTTTGGGATATGGCCGAATTTAACCCTGCTATAAATGTGTTGTTTTCGAAGACTGGTGTATTGTGCAAGTCATAAAGAAGAAATTGGGCAGATACACGACTTACAATTTTTCAAAAACCAGCTTCGTGTGATGTGTAATTTGTGTCAATTTTTAGTAAATGTATTCGGATTCAGACTGGCCATGGAACCTCGTGGCAGGCGATCACGGCCCTTGCAGAGCTCAAGGTACGCGGTGACAATCCTCCAGCGATCCGACGTTTTCACATCTGCAAACTTCTTTCGCGGTGTAGGTGCGTGCGTCCGCTTGCTACTTGGTGTAGCTAAACCCGCCATGCGCGATGCTACTCGCGACAATCATGGTGGTTTTTTCTTAGAAGACTTCTCTGATCTTGCCATCACAACTTCAAACACAAAAGTGAGTCAGAAAAAGCGATCTGACTGGCTTTTGCCTGTCAAAAAGTGCATGGGAGATAAGCCATAATTGCGATGAGCTAGACCTAGTAAGTGAGACGTGCGGCTTCTATTCCAAGAGCAGGGTCTGTCTTTCGCTACAAAAATCTGGGTGCGTCTATAGAGAAGTTCAGCACCACATAAAGTTTAGCTACTTACGAAAAATTGTCAGTGCGTCGATATAACAGGGCTCTGATAATGGAGGTGCTCCGTAAGTGGATTAGGGTTCAAATTTATGACTCTCTCCACAGGTCGACTCGGTTTGGAATCTGCCATGCTCCGGGCTGGCATGGGCAGCTACATATGCGTGCTTCTAAAACTCTGTATGGTGGAACACAGCTCCGCACGCAGTGTACGTAAGACTTTCCGTAGATCGACTACGTTTTTACTAACGTAATAACGTTATGCGGAACATCTCTATATGCGCAAAGAAGTTCGGTCGGTGTACGTAAATATCCGCGTGTGACTATCCATTTCTTGTTGCTACAGATATCACTCGCTATCGTAGCTGTTCTCTTGGCAACATGCACCTTGACCAACGGGTTCCAACCTAAGGCAGTTGAAAGTATGTGACGTGAATGCGGGGTTTGTGATACTCTCTGTTGTTATATTTAAAGACTGTCCACCCACCCACAGATCCATTTTATCGAACACCCTGCCATGTGCATACTTCAATGTCCATGTACTAGTATTCCACAGTTCTATCAGCTGAACCCTTTAACCATTTCATCCATTGAAACGCCAAACGAAATTTCAACTTTGCCAGGTCATAACTTTAGTTGTACTCACTCGATTTTATAATCTTGGGCTCGTTGGAAACCTCTGGATGAGACCAGCACAAGGATACCACATTCTTCGCCTCAGCAGTCACACAACCAGCGCTGGATCGCAGCGACGTCGTCTCAACGCCATGGCCGTCTCCTTCATCGTAGAGTGATCCATTTTTTTGAGAGTTAGAGCATTTCGCGAGGAATACGTTGGTCGCGTGCAACAGTCACAGAGCGCGTGAAGAAATGGGGAAATCCCGTGACGACGTCAGTCGCGCGCCCAGTGCAGCGGAAGTGACAAGCGTGCAGTACTCAGCGCTTGATAACTCTGCTCCATTACATCGTAGCTCAACGCTGATTTCTGCAACAGAAAGCCTGGAAAATTCGCCATCGAATCGATAGTACATTTTCTATCGTGCGTAAAAAATCATTCCAGTGCGAGTATTTCAAAGGATGGGTCGAATTCGACCCACAAATGTATGGTCTGACGGTGAAAGGGTTAAGGTCCACAGTATACAGTAGGAACAGTACATACCCTTGAAGAATGGGCAACAAGAACTTCACATCACGTGACGAACCCGTAAACATTACGTGCACTCTGTGCATGATAGATACAGGGCTGAACGTAACCCAGCTTTGACTTCAACTCTCTTGTGGTTAGCCCTTTCCCAAAGATGCTTGCCACTTTTTTTTCGCAAGTTTTGGTTGTTATAGAAGAGTTCGCAACTTTCGCAACTGTTGCGAAACCACAAGTTCTGAAGAGTGAAAGGCCATCTCGCTTGTGACATTGTGTTCGTTTCAATGCAGTTGTATCCCGACTCCGCCGTACCGCTGATGTTTACGACGTAGTATACGCTACAGGCACTATGTGCTGTTTGCTGTGTGGGCTGTACCGTAAAAGCCCGTGCATAAGCCCTGGGCGTATAGAATAGCAGCCTCGATTTCCTGGGCGTACACAAGGGCATGGGCGTTATTTTGGAACCGGGCGTATACTGGGAATAGGGATAGCAGTAAGTATTGGGTATCAGTACCTGTACATGTACTGGTGTTGCCGGCATACCTGGGCGTCTACATGGGCATGGGTGCTATTTTGAAACAAAAGTGTTGACTTCCCCTGACTGGGTGTGTACACGGAGGGTGGGCGTAATTTCGAGTGGGCGTATACAGGGGCTTTTACGGTAGTTGTATGTTGTATGTGTATGCTTTTCTCATATACACTGTCATTTTCACGCTATAACTACCTGGTGGTTTTAGTGTGAGTTATTCATTAGTTAGATTCAATGGATTTATTACGTTATTACCTTTTGTATGTGGAAACCTTATATAATAGCAGTTTGGTCTATATTTTAATAATTCAACATCTGCCTTCACTGATGAGCTATGTATTAGCGAAACAGCTTTCTGAACGAGTTTATCAATATCGTCCACGGAAGTATCCTCGCAATGGTGGTTGTGTGCAGGAGGGTATAGTCGGCTAAAGAGCGCAGTGTAATGGTGAAGGTGACTCAACAGATTAAATGGATGTCAAAATATACTGTTGAGACTAAAATTAATAGTTGTCCTCGTGCCGTGTGGTCGTTCGTTCCTGATACTTAAGAAAACCAGAGGGTTCACAACAGCAACTTTCTTCATTTTTACGAACTACTTCGCAACTTTCCGCAAACGTGAACAGAGAATCGCCTTGCAGGGGACCATTGAAGTGTCTATGATGATCCGTTTCAACAAGAAGCGCTGAAAAATTGCATCAAATCATCATAACAAGTGTACTTCTCGAAGAATGTGACGTAAGACGTCCGTTAGACATCCGTGATGATTTGTTGGCTTTCACTTAGCGTCTACTTTTCACCTACTTTTCACGTATCTTTGTCACCACCTCAGTACTCTTGGTGACGTGTTAACTAGCTAGGCATGGGCGGGTATTGCTAGCATGATGGCTGGCATTATCGTCCCTTTTTTCCAGGTGGCATAATGCTGGCATTACAACACCATTTCGCATTCAAAATTGGCTTTACAAGCATAATAGCCGGTCGACAAAGGTGTTATGCATGAAGCTGGCTTGGTCCAGTTCCGAAAATCGTGCATCTGAACCCGTCCGGCTTCATCCGGAGATTTGACGTTGCAAACAAACCTTCTCAGTGGATTGTTCTCCGAAACGATAACCAACAGCCTTCCAGCTCGGAAAGTTCTAGGGGGAGTTCAAGGGAGAGACCAAAGATCAAAAGGTAAATGCAACGGAAATCAGTTCAAGCTAAAGTCCCACGGGAACAAAGAATACAGTTTCCTCTGAGACAGAAATGCGATAATACTCATAAAAAGGACACACTTCAGGCTCTTTACGAACATCTTGAAGGTTTTTGGCTTCACAAGACTTGCAATACAGGCAAAGGAAAAGGAACAGGAACAGTGAATTAAGTACAGTAAGAAGGTGGTAAAACAGCGCAAAGAAGAAGATAGCTAAAGTAAACAGCGAAAAAGCGTGACCTATGCACATAGCAATAAGGACGCAAAGGTGCAAGTGCGAGAAAACTCAATAAGCGTGACATGTAGTGGGGCAACAAGAGACAACCACTGGACATAACTAACGAGGTTTTGACGACCTACCTAACAGCCTAAGAGTGAATTTAATTTGCTTCTGCTTCTGCTTGCAAAGGTTGGGTTTCTTTGTGTGGATGTATACGGCTTCCAAAACGTTCAGCAAAAATGAAGGTCAATTGTTTCTGACTGTATATCCTCTACTGTAAAACCGGAAAGTATAACGACCAAAATGTTCAACGTTTTTGTAATTTTGGCATGATTACGTGCAGAAAGTTTAACGATGGCTAAGTGGCCACCCATCTGTGTGCGCATCTTTACACAGACATCTAGCGATAACATATTTTTCAAATAACAAAAATGAATTGGTCAGTAAAGGGGAAGTTAAGACAAAAATCAAAATTTCGCCAGTTGTAGTCTTCGGGGTGCTGAGTCGAATGGTCCTGGTCCGAGAAAGCTGAGACGCTCCCGTCCTACTTGAATCCCAATCGAACTCCCTCACTTCCACCGAAACTGGGTGACTGCGCCCTACTAGATGGGATTTGTATGCAAAATGTCACTAAAAGCGCCATTTCGTTCTTATAAAAGCACAGATGGCCGCGATTGGCCCATATGTTGTAGTCTTTTGGATGCTGAGTCGACTGGTTTTGGTCCAAAAAGGCTGCGATGCAGCGTTCGGCCCTTATCCCCAATCGAACGTGGTTGAACAAGCGGTCACGTGCTCCTGGGTGCCCAAATCACCTGGTTACCACGCCAGCAGGCGACAACTTTCACACCAAGGTTCAACTCGAGTTCAACCCGAGTGACAGGACTGCACCCAAAAAAGGTCAAACAGGCTAGTAAGTTGTACCCTGCAGGCACGGTGACCAGGTGACTGGTGTACGCAGGAGCACGTGACCGCTTGTTCAACCATGTTCGATTGGGAATAAAGGAGGAACGCTGCATCGCAGCCTTTTCGGACCAAAACCAGTCGACTCAGCGTCCAAAAGACTACAACAAAATGGCGCTTTTAGTGACATTTTGCATACAAATCCCCATCTAGTAGGGCGCAGTCACCCAGTTTCGGTGGAAGTGCGCGATTTTGATTGGGATTAAAGTAGGCAGGGAGCATATCAGCTTCCTCGGACCACGGCCATTCGACTCAGCACCCCGAAGACTACAACTGGTGAAATTTTTGCCTTAACTTCCCCTATAAGACTCTGTTACTCGTTAGACTTTCCGGTTTAACAGTAGTTACAGGTAGGTGGTTGCTATTAACTCGGATCCATGTGCTCCTTTCCTTTCTCTTTTTATCACCGGCTCAACATCCGAGGTTCATAAAGAGTTATTACAATAAATTATACTGACTGGTAATATTTCTGTGAGTTCTAGAGATGTTCAAGAGCTCATTCTCGTGTCCAATGAAATATAACTGAATAGTCTGTAATACCCTATGTGTCTGCACATCTGCATACTTTGATCTTTACAGAATACAGTCCTTTCTGCCCAAAGGGAAAGCTGGTGGGCTGGTGGATACTTTATGACTTTTCTTGTGATGGTGAGTACTATTGTCTGCTTTTTCCTGAGTGCAGCATTGGAAGGACTGTTATTAATTTTAGACAGCATTTTTTGTGGGAACCGGAATGTAAAGGTAAGTACTATTATCCAGAAGATGTTTGTTATGTTTCTACCCAAAGGCATTTCGACAGCACAACCAGATTTAAGCTTACTTGTTGTCAAACTGACTTGCAACAAACACATTCTATGAAATGATGCAAAAGTCACATTGTCCACATGCTGCTTCCATGACAGTTCGCAATCAATGACCACCCCAAGGTACTTGGCAGTAGGGGCAACCTTGAGTGCATCCTGAAAACAGCATACATCAGGAATGGCAGCTCTCTGCCCACGGGGCTGGATGACCATATTTTGTTACAGAAGTGGCAGCTGCACTAAGCTGTCGGCACACAGTGTTGAGATCGCTGTCATCAGCAAACCCTTGATGGATGACTTTTTCAGGCGGGATGGCATCATAGTGGTGTGTGTATAGAACAAACACCAAGGGACCAAGTGCACTGATCTGTGGCACACCACACACCACAGGAACAATGCACTGATGAGGAGAGTTTGTCCCCCGAAGTTGATGACTTCTTTCAGTCAGATTGCTACAAAACCATTGTGGAGCACTGAGAGAGATACCAAGGGAGTGCAACTCAGAGATGAGTCGTTCATGCTGCACCCGATCAAAGGTTTTACTCATACTACCATGAAATCTACCATGACTATGCCAGTGAAGCGGCGATTTGAGTGTGCAAGCACCCACCTGTTGACGGCAAGCACAAGTGCATCCTCCATCGAGTGACACTTCCAATACGCAAACTGAGTCTTCAGATAAAGCGCATGCGCTGTGAGATATTCCACGGTCTGCTTTTTCACAAAGTGTTCGAGAACACGAGATATAATACTTAGTCCGGCGCATCGATATTGTCCCTTATCTCCGACGCACTTTTGGACAGGTAAAACCCAGTCCAATCACGGTATCTAACTTACTTTTCTTGGGAGGTTGTGATGGCAAGATCCAAGGAGGCACCAAAGAAAAATTATCGCGACTAGCGCTTTGAATCGCGATGTGTTTGACTTTTTTTGGGAAGTGGGAATCTGGCCAGTCTGTCTGTATTGCCAAAAGCCAAGCGCAGCGACCCGAAGACCGGGACTGTGGTAGGTGGCAACTGGACTGATCCTTTGAATTTGAAGTTCTCCCAATCCTTTCCAAAATTACTCACTTTCTTTCACCTCTGGTAGTTTCCAGAAACTGACCGTGGGTGGTCCCCTGGGGGAGGGAAAAAGACCCAAGTGCCATCAGTATGTGTGGCACGTGTTGTGAGCTGCCTTTGGAGTGAAACACTTGTCAGCGCCTTCTAGGTTCAGCCTGGTCCCATAGCTCAGTGGTTAGAGCATTGCTCATGACAAGCAGGGTCCCAGGTTTGAGTTCTGGTGGGTCTGGCGTTTTTTTCTCTTTTCAGGCAGTTCACTTCCCCGACTGATCCTTTGAATTTGAAGTTCTCCCAAACCTTTACAAATTTAATCACTTTCTTTCACCTCTGGTAGTTTCCAGAAACTGACCGTGGTTGGTCCCCTGGGGGAGGGAAAAAGACCCAAGTGCCATCAGTATGTGTGGCACGTGTTGTGAGCTGCCTTTGGAGTGAAAAACTTGTCAGCGCCTTCTAGGTTCAGCTTGGTCCCATAGCTCAGTGGTTAGATCATTGCTCATGACAAGCAGGGTCCCAGGTTCGAGTCCTAACGGGAAAAGTCTGAAGAAAAAATTGACTGTCACCACCAGGACTCGAACCAGGGACCTTCGCTTGTAGCCAGCGATGCTCTAACCACTGAGGTATGGTGTAGTCGTCATCCCAGCAGAGGCCGTTCAACATTTTCTTCAGACTTCATAACTCACACTTCCTATGAATCCACACAGGCGGGTGGGACGCAGCCCTCACTGTAACCCACACATAATAATAATAATAATAATAATAATAATAATAATAATAATAATAATTTTAATATGGCAATCAGTAGGACGAGCTGAAGCGACATGTGGACTACTTTATTAACAATGTAAGCGATGGAGACGATGCAAGAAACAACCTAAAGGGTAAGGAAAAATACATGTAAGAAGAAAAAGGGCAATGGAAAAAAAAGATGATTCGAACAAGTTTTCGTACAACACTCTTCAGGAATCACCGTTGTACTAAAGAACAAAATGAGAACAAAGGAAATAATATAGCAATCAAGGTAGGGTGACACGATACAATGACAGCACTAGAATATCGAGGTGCGATTTCTCACAAAAGTGTGCAGAAAACAAGGGTATACAAGTAAGAACTAAGCGTGACAAGTGTGTATCAGCAACAAACACAAAAAAGTGAGAACGAATGATAATGATAACAATAATAAACAAGAAGGTGACAAAACACATTTAGGCACAAGTGGCAACAACGTTGCCACACTACACAACAGAACATTATTTGAACAATTTTAGGGTAATAACACTATCTTTCTGGACACACAAATTCGGTTTATGAATGCGCTGACAAACAGCTTCCAAAACTTGTAACTGCAAAAGATAACCATGACGAGCACGGCACAAAACAGAAAACCAGGAATCAGAATAAGTACGACAACAGTCAGTACTAGAAACCAAATGATTGTATACTGAAGACTTGTTATTACGAGACGGACGCACACAATCTCGACTCACGCGCACACAGTCACACTCACTCTCACCCTCACTCAGCTCACCTTCTCCCTCACTGTCCGAATCAGAACCTGCTCCGTCATCCACCGCGGTTTGACTCTCCTCCTCACTTGCATCGTCCTGCGTCTCACCTTCACCACCCACGCCAGCCGTGAATGCCGTTGCCTTCACGTCAGTCGTCGTCCTTTCCGATTGTTTCCTTTGTATTTTTACCGTGAATTCATAGGTCCGGTTGTAATCTGCTGTAGATCTCCGTGGTCTGTCATTTGCTGCTTTGTTTTGTGGATTAGTTGTTGTTGTTGTTGTTGGATGTGAACCTGGTGTTGTTGTTGGATGTGAAGCTGGTGTTGTTGTTGCAGCCATGGTTGTTGGTCTTTCTGTTGAATCCAGCTCTGGTTCCGGTGGGACAAATCGACCGCCGCGGGTGCTCCCCACCAACACAGACCTCGAAGGAGGAGGGTCAGGGGGAGGCAGAGGTGCTATCACCACTCGAGGCACAGCCCCATGCAAAGCACCCAGAGGCACAGACTTAGGCACACCCGAGGGCTGCACCAGTGGCGGTTCCGCACGCACCTCCAAAGAGCTGCCAAGCTCCAGCCCGTCCAACACAGATGTCAGAGGGGGAGCGGCAGACAGCGGCAGGGAACTATCCTGCCGTCTAAGTGATGGGTTTTTCCTAGGCCTCCCGCGTTTGGGCCTCTCAGATTGCGCACTGGGTGGAAGGATGTGAAGTGGAGTGTGTTGTTTGATACGTGCGTTCAGGTGCTGAACAGTCCTACCAACATACCGACTAGCACAATGTCGGCATTCGAAGTTGTAGATAACATGACTGAGGTGGAGGGTTGGTAGGACGTCCTTCCGCACCGTGAACGCACGCATTGTTGTGAGGACTGGCATAAAATGTACTGCATAATAAGTACGACGGACGATAGACTTGACTGCGTGACACACTTTGATCGATTCCTGCCCCTTCCATGGCAAACATAGATAGACGGGACAGCGAGGTGGACCAATCAGCACCGATTTCGGTTTCTGCTCCATGGACAGAAACTTACGCAACAAGAATTCCGGATAGCCATTCTTCAAGAAAACAGATCGAAGGAAATCGAGCTCGGCCTGCAGCTTACTGGGCGAACAAATACGTTTCGCACGGTCCACGAGGTTACGAACTAAGTTGACCTTGTATTGAGACGAACAATATGAATCGAAGGCAATGTACTGACCGGTGAACGTAGGCTTACGATACACAGAAGTCAACATTTCACAGCCAGTCTTCTCTACAAGCACGTCTAGAAATGACAACTTACTAGACTGCTCGTGCTCACAAGTAAAGCGGAGGGAAGGATGTAGGCTGTTGAGCACATCGAGAAACAATTCACTGCTCTCAAAACTGTCAAAATGCGTGAACGAATCGTCAACAAAACGCACGTAGAACGCGGGCCAAAGCGACTCATCAATCTTGCACTCACAATAACCAACGAATATATTGGCGAGGACGGGACCAAGAGGAGATCCCATCGCCACACCATCTACTTGCTTGTACATCACATCGTTGAACGAAAATTCGACACCAGTTGTAACTGACAGCATCAAATGACGAAACGCCGCTTCCGATACCCATGGAGTATCCACATCATCGTTACGACGTGAAGGCAACGGCATTCAGGGTTGGCGTGGGTGGTGAAGGTGAGACGCAGGACGATGCAAGTGAGGAGGAGAGTCAAACCGCAGTGGATGACGGAGCAGGTTCTGATTCGGACAGTGAGGGAGAAGGTGAGCTGAGTGAGGGTGAGAGTGAGTGTGACTGTGTGCGCGTGAGTCGAGATTGTGTGCGTCCGTCTCGTAATAACAAGTCTTCAGTATACAATCATTTGGTTTCTAGTACTGACTGTTGTCGTGCTTATTCTGATTCCTGTTTTTCTGTTTTGTGCCGTGCTCGTCATGGTTATCTTTTGCAGTTACAAGTTTTGGAAGCTGTTTGTCAGCGCATTCATAAGCCGAATTTGTGTGTCCAGAAAGATAGTGTTATTACCCTAAAATTGTTCAAATAATGTTCTGTTGTGTAGTGTGGCAACGTTGTTGCCACTTGTGCCTAAATGTGTTTTGTCACCTTCTTCTTTTATTAATGTTATTATTATCATTCGTTCTCACTTTTTTGTTTTTGTTGCTGATACACACTTGTCACGCTTAGTTCTTACTTGTATACCCTTGTTTTCTGCACACTTTTGTGAGAAATCGCACCTCGATATTCTAGTGCTGTCATTGTATCGTGTCACCCTACCTTGATTGCTATATTATTTCCTTTGTTCTCATTTTGTTCTTTAGTACAACGGTGATTCCTGAAGAGTGTTGTACGAAAACTTGTTCGAATCATCTTTTTTTCCATTGCCCTTTTTCTTCTTACATGTATTTTTCCTTACCCTTTAGGTTGTTTCTTGCATCGTCTCCATCGCTTACATTGTTAATAAAGTAGTCCACATGTCGCTTCAGCTCGTCCTACTGATTGCCATATTAAAATTATTGTCTCCTCGTCGAATTTTTAAATAATAATAATAATATTAACTGGTTTGAGGGAAAGAGACTAACAGGAAAGGTCTGAAGAAAAAATTGACTGTCACCACCAGGACTCGAACCAGGGACCCTCGCTTGTAGCCAGCGATGCTCTAACCACTGAGCTATGGTGTAGTCGTCATCCCAGCAGAGACTGTTCAACATTTTCTTCAGACTTCGTAACCCTGCCCACACACGCTCTCTAATAATAATAATAATAATAAAAATAATAATGCTATCTTGGCCCATATGCCTGGCTTTGGCAAGAGAAAGGCATATTCTGGACACCCAGCCGCCAAAAGCCAAGGTAGGCGACTCCATCGGATAAATTGGAACGCATTCAATGAGGACTTGAACCATCAACTAGGGAATTGTACTTAACCGGAAATCTTGATAACCCTATGCAGAGTCTTACCACCTCTATCATATCTACCCTGGATCTACATGCACCATTGATCCATCGGCGTGGACCTCTGGCTAACACCCGAGCTAGTTGCCGCAGTTCGTAACCGAAACCACTTCCATCGCCGGTTGATGAGTATTATTATTATTAGGGGTCGTCCGTATTTTTCGAAAAATTATAACATCCGTCCTCAGGCAAAAAGGGGGTGGGTGGTCAAGAGTGCTGGTGGAATTTAATTTGTTTGATTTTTCGTACCTTTTTTTTCATATAGCTGACTGCATGAAATTATTGTCTTTCTATTTCTGACTCCATGAAATTGTCTTCATATAATTTTTCCTTTTCTTCTTTTCGTCCATTCTGTCTTATTATTATTATTATTATTTAAAAATTCGACGAAGAGACAATCATTTTACTATGGCAATAAGTAGGACGAGCTGAAGCGACATTTGGATTACTGTATTAACAATGTAAGCGATGGAGATGATGCAAGAAATAACCTAAAGGAAATAATATAGCAATCAAGGTAGGGTGACACGATACAATGATAGCACTGGAATATCGAGGTGCGATTTCTCACAAAAGTGTGCAGAAAACAAGGGTATACAAGTAAGAACTAAGCGTGACAAGTGTGTATCAGCAACAAAAACAAAAAAGTGAGAACGAATGATTATAATAACAATAATAAACAAGAAGGTGACAACGTTGCCACACTACACAAAAGAACATTATTTGAACAATTTTAGGGTAATAACGCTATCTTTCTGCACACACAAAAAAACCTAAAATTGTCAGTAGAAATCACTCGTTTTGCTTGTCTTTGGTGCCTTGGCCGTCGTGAAGCGGTTACAAAAGGGTCTGAGGTAGCCTTGTGAGCTATATATCTGCTGTATCATTATTACCACGTTATGGGCGCAAGGGTGGCATTGTAATCATGAAACGGTGGCATCTGCTCTCAAATAGCGAGATTTGGCTTAATTGTGCCCAGGGAGCTTCCTCCGGCGCCCATCTGCTGCAATCTTTGCCAAACCAAACAAAAATATCTTCCGACGCCTATCCCCACTTCCAAACTGCAACTTCTGTCTCTTTTTGCTCTGTTTGGCTCAGATGTGGATGAGTGTACCACGCGTGAGGGCATCTGTGATCAGGAAATATTGAAGCATCCCTATCCACTGTCTTGTAAAAACTCCAACGGTGGCTATAGTTGCGAGTTGCCAGGCCCAGCCACAGGCTGTAAGTGACAGGGATTTAAAATGCAGATATAATTATTTCGCAGATTGAGGATATAATTATGTATAAACTCAATCTGTACACAAAGTGTCTGCGAAAATCGGAGTAACGAAGAAAGCTTTTTGGCCTCTGTTGTGTACTAAATCTGCATATGTTCCCAATCTGTATATATTATATGGATAGAGTAAGATCTGGTTCCACACAGCTGCGGAGAGGGTGCTCAATGTCAAAAAGACAGAGCAATGACACACAAGTTGTCAAGCGACGGATAGCCAAGAAATTCGTTGTTACTCCGAGTTTCGTGCGAAACCACTCATCAGACAACTTCATAATGACACTTACGGCAGAAAGCACCAAATAAATAATCTACATTGGGTTGAAATGTGGAGGGATTTCAGTGCTAGGTCTCACGGCCGTTCAGCCGCGGCCATCGAATAACATGGCGGCGATTTTACTGATAAATTGCAAATTTGTACTTTACACGTTCGATTTATGTAATTGGCATGGTTTCAGGTGGATCCTTTTGAATCAAGTAGAATCAAGTAGTTGACCTTAGGTAAATCGAGGTTTCAGAGTCCTGACCGAACGTGAAGTGCATGCAAGACAGATAAGTAAAATAAAATATTGCAACAGGACGAGATATAGAGGGCGAAGAAGAACCGACTTGAAAAGAGCCGGAGAGTCACTGATTATTGACATGACCATGGTATGAAGAGAAGGATCACGATGGCTGCCGCTTTCCTCGATGCCTTAGCTGCGGCGACTGAGTGGCCTGGACCCGGGCAGCGTTCTTGTTAGGTGCTGCGTGGCAATTGCTTCGAAATTTTCATGGGCGCAGGAATCTGCCAGAAACGCTTCTCCAGAGAGAGATGAATTCCGCATGGATGCTCTCTTAGCCTTGCTCAGCGAGCAAACCAAGTCACATCATAGCTTGCATGGCATGCATCTCTAAAGGTGCAGCTATTGACGTGCCATTTGTTTCTCTTCACGAGCTTGTCTCGTACGAGCCCATGAAATGTTCGATGTTTCATGTTGCTGCTGAGCTTTGCTGAGTCCTCAGAGTACAATGGAACTGAAGAAGCTGTGCAAGTCTGAGTGAGCTACCTGATAATGAAGGCAAAGGGAATGAGCAGGAGTCAGTAACTGCCTGTGATCTGAAATTCTCAGTCCAGTCACACAATGTCACTCCTGCTTAGTTTGGTTGCACATAACCTCGGAATTGTGGCCAATGACAACTTGCTCATAGCCTTGCCGAGCTACGTAGCTGAGCTGGCTTTTGGTTGTTGTGGCCTTTTACTCGGCTGCTTCCTCGTTAGCTATATCTTGCTGCAGTTTGGCATATAGCATGAAGCTCTTATTAGCTGGCAGACCTCTGCCAGCACTGATCCATCCTAGATCCAGGAATATATCCCCAGGTCTAGATGCAACAATGCCACAAGTTAGCCCAGTGCAAGGTCGTTTCCACAAGGAGTCTGACACAGGACAGGTTGTGTGTGTGTGTGTGTGTGTGTGTGTGTGCGCGTGTGCGAGCACGTGTATGTGTGTGTGTGTGTGTGCGTGTGTGCGTGTGTGTGTGTGTGTGTGTGTGTGTGTGTGTGTGTGTGTGTGTGTGTGTGTGTGTGTGTGTGTGTGTGTGTGTGCAGTCACGGCTATGAGTGCAGAAGAAATCCTCTCTTGCTTTTGCGTGACTTATGTCTGTGTTGTCTGACTGCTCTGATAATGTTCTCTTCCAATTGTTACAATCATATGACTTGTCGCAGTGCCGGTCCTGTTGTTACAGCTGTGAGAGTTGGTGCAGTTGGTGTGAATGATGAAGAAACTTGGCAAACAGTTGCAGTGATGATTGATGTGGAAGCAAACTAAATTACTTGCTAGTACAAGACTTTGGCTGAGTGGCACAATGTCAGCTCTGCTCAAATTTTGGCCATCTCTCCGTTTTGATCTACAATTTGGGTAGAAACTACTTCTTTTGGTAGTGTTCTTTTTATTTTTTTATTCTACTCAAAAGGGTAGATTCTACTTTCCTCTACCGGCTCTACTATAGACTAAACCGAACCACGTCTCTAGCTGACACACTACTCACTAGTGAGGTTTTGCATTCCGAATTTCAGTTCGGTATTCTTTGGTCATTTATCGAACATCAAAATGTCGAATTTTCGCACCAACGTTTGTTTCGCAAGTCGAAAATGATGTGTTTTCATTTCGTGAGCCCCAGCATCAGCAACGTCCTGTCCTGTGCTCCTTTTCTTGCTGATTTCAACGAACTTTGATCGTCCAAAGAGTCAAAGGCCAAACTTGCCTCCTCAGTCGCCTCAGAAAAACCAACTCCATGGCCAAATCGAATTTAAGTGTATTGCCATAGTCTTTTCAGCCACACAGATGACGGTGAGGACACTCCAGGCGAAAGAGAGTAGACAGGCAGTGAGGAGCAATCAGAGTTAGCTGACGATGCCGATGTCGCCAAAGATGCCTGCGAAGCCATGCCGAGATAAGAAACCTTTTTAAATAAATCACGCGCTATCGCTCTTCTACAAGAAAATTCATCTGAAAATATTTCGGCAAACGGAGCTTTTTCCGAATAAACCTGCCGAATCTTCGTGTGCATTTTCGACCTCGCTCTCGCGTGCCGAATCATTTTGCCGAATTTCGGAATGCAAAACCTCACTACTACATGAAGTGGTTTATCAAGTCGTGAATGGTGGTCCACTGTCAAGCGTGCCAGTGGAAGTGGACGTAGCCATGACATCCCTACCCTCAAGGAGGAAAACGGCGCTGAGCTCACCACCAGTAAGGACAAAGCAGAGAGCTTTGCCCGCTACCTTTCAGCAAAATGCAGCCTTTGTGATGACCTTGATGCCAGCAACCTCCCGTATGTCCGCCCGCGATCTGATGCTTGTCTGAGTGCCATCCACTTTAGGCCACGAACGGTATGCCATGAACTGAGGAAGATTGTCCTGTCCCAAGCCACTGGCTCGGATGGTGTACCAGGATGAGTGTTGAACCAGTGCTGTGAGGTACTGTGCGGGCCTGTGGCCCAGCTTTTCAGCAAAGCATTCCGCCAAGGCCGGCAACCGTCACTGTGGAAGCTTGCCTCAGTAGTACCTGTATACAAGAAGGGTTCGAAGAGCAACTACCGGCACATATCCCTGCTGCCAATACTGTCAAAGGCCATGGAAGCTATCATCAATCGGACCCATATGGGATTCCTTGAGCGCCAGCACATCCTCCCCGCTAACCTGTACGGCTTCCGTGCGGGTTGTTGCTGTGGATATTGCTGGAGCGTTCAATCGACTATGATATCTCTCGGAGGAAATTTGAAATGTTTGGCGTTGCCTGTGTTTTTTTGCTCCTGAGCATCCTCTGCACCCTGCACAAACATAATGCAAGGGAGATAATGCATGAGTACCGTAAAGTACCGTTGATCCGCCCCCTCTCTAATTCCCGCCCCCTGTCGATTTTCTACCTGTGAAGCGACTTCGGCGTATACAACGGAAATACCATGTTGAACCGACGCATGCACTGCTGTACACAATACTTGCCAATACAGGATGAAAATGTGCACAATCCAGCACTTCGAGTCTGAACTTCTACGTTGTTGTACATCGTACTGCACTTGACAGCCTTGATCTCATTCCCGCCCCCTGCCGAAAACCCAGCTGGGAAGCGACATGGTGTGTGTGGGGGGGGGGGGGGGAGGGGGATCAACGGTACTTTACGGTAACCTCGTTCCCTGCCATACACTAACCTGATCTTGCACAAGCATAATGCAAGGGAGATAATGCATGTAACCTCGTTCTAAAAATTGATAATGTCCTCCCTGCCATGCACTAATCTATAATAATTAAAAACTGTATACCTGTGTTGCTTGTATGATTTCAGTACACTATTCCGGAGACGAGATTATAAAAGATGTTGACAACGGAGTTTTCAGATTCCAGTGCCCAGATGGAAAGTTTCCATACTGCAACCCTGGCACTGAATGCGATTATAGGAGAGGAGCATTAGCCCCGCTTAAATGGGATCAAGACTCCAAACAATATATATTTTACAACGTGCCAACTTGCAGGCAACTAGGTAAGTTTCATAGTTTCATAGTTTGTTGCTTGATGTGGATCCCTTGTGCATATTATCCTCACATATGATATGATCGTGCCTCATTTCCTCTGTCCTGGCTTATGAGTCCACAAAGGATGAAATAAATCTGTCCGCAGATTGAGTATTTCGCTCCTTACCTTGTAGCAGTTGAGCACTCTGGTGTTGGGTAGTGCCTTTGCAGTTTGCATCATGCAGAGCTCACTGACTGGTCAGTTTGAGCACTCTAGCAAGGTAGGTTCGGGCCTGCTTTTAATCTGTCTAATTCGTCCTGCAATAGATGAGGGGAACATATTCTATGTGCACGATAAACTGGGAAGCCAACGTTCACCGGCCTCTACATTCCGTGGGGGAGCTATACTCCAACGAAATCGAAGAGACATCTTGTGAAAGCGCTAGTTTATCGTGCACATAAAATATGTTCCCCTCATCTATTGCAGGACGAATTAGACAGACTGACATCAATATTTACGAACAACGGCTATCCAAAGGAATTTCTGGCCAAGCTAATCAACGAAAAACCGGTGACAGACAAGCCTATCCAATTTGGACCTGACCGTTGCCCAGTGGTGCTCCGTTTACCCTGGGTTGGCACCGGTTCTGCGCGCGTGGAGAAGGATGTTCGTGGTATCGTATGTCCATCATATCCGTGCGTCAAGCTGTACGTCATATTTGGGACAGTGTGTGCATTCAGTGTGAAGAAGGATGTTCTACCTACCCTTAGTAAAAGTAACAGGTAGAACCCTTCAGCACCTGGGCACACGCATTCGTCAACATGTGCCGTTAAGTTGTGTTCCGCTTGATGCGCGCGATTGTCGTCCTCGCCGTGGTCGTCCTCCAAAATGTGCTGTCCAGTCCATCGGTGGATCTTCCTCTTCCCGTGAAGATGTGACTGCATGCCCGTCCTCCTGTGCGTGTGTAGGACACGGGCCAGCTGAGAACAGCATAAAATATGGTGAAAGACCGACACGTAAACCACCTGACAAAGGATCTGTCGGCGTCGGAAAGGGTGACGAGAAGCCAAGTGAAAATACGGACTGGTGAGGACGAACGTACAGCGACAACGGAAGTGACAACAACAGTCAATATTCGAAAACGTGGTAGACCGCGAAAACTAACCTCAATATCGGACACCGAACAAGTTGGAGTAAGAAGCTCAATAGAAATCCGCAATGGAGGAGACATAGCTGAAAGGACACTGGGTATCGCGCACCCAACGGCTAGTGTCAAGAAACGTGGAAGGCCGCAGAAACGCGAAGAGACGGATAGTGGTGATGCCACGAAGAGGCGAGATGACGGAACATTGGAGGAGACAACACCCAATGGAGCTAAGAATCGCACTTCTTCAATCAAGCAACATCTGTCAGCCCGTACCAATTGTCGTGAAATATACAGTGGTAATGTTTTCTCAATATTGTCACGTGGTAGATGTGCGTTGCATTTGGCTGTGTTAGAAGCTTTGTATATCCGTAAGTTAGATCCTGAACTTTGCGTACAGAAATAAAATGTGTTGTCGCTACAATTGTTTGGTGTTACTCCTCATCGAGGTGGTAACAATGTAACTTAATTTGCTCACTATGTTGTTGTCACTATTATTATTTTCCTTCGAGTTTTGTGTCGTGCTAAACTTGATAATTTTCCACCTTGTCACCAGTGTTTTTATCTAATTATCTTTACGCTATATAAGTTTTAGTCTTTCGAACTTGAGCCATTCCCTGTATAATCCTTGATGAGAAGGTACCGAAAACGTTCGGATACTTATGACAGGTGCCTTATTATATCACCTACGCTCCGTAGCCACCCGTGCCCGCCAACGGCTTGGGGTTCTAAACAGAGCCGCCCACATCCTCACCCCCGCCGGCCGGACGACAGTGTATAAGGCGTTCGTACGACCAGTCATGGAGTATGCGCCTCTTGTATGGATGGGAGCTGCGCAGAGTCACCTCCAGCGTCTGAACAATGTTCAGCGCCGCGCACTCCATGCTATCGGCCCTGGGGCACACCTACCCAGCTTGGCCATCCGCCGTACTGTTGCCTCTCTTGCCTGCCTGTACAAGCTGCACTACTTGCCTGGTCCACCGCAGCTGCTCTCTGTGTTGCCACCACGCCATATCACCTCTGCCAACCCCAGAACCCGCAGCGAGCACGGTAGTGTCAGTGGCCATGACCACCAGCTCCAACACCAGCTGCCTGCATCTGCCCCGCTGGCACTGACGCGCTCCTTCCCACACTGCAGCATCAGCGACTGGAACTCCCTCCCTGCCGCTCTCCTGTCCCAGCCTCCCCACAGCAAGAGAATGCAATCATTCAAAACGAACGTTTATCGCCATCTTCGCAGCACAAACTGGCTCTGGGCAGTCGATTCCCTATGAATAGTATGATGCTATGATAGTTTCTCCCCACACTCACTCGTGTTAAGCCTTGGGTTTTGCGGGTTTTTCGCATCTTTCTGACCTGTACAGCTCTATCTTCTTCTTTTTTTCCTTGTTTTGGTGCGTGTTTTTGGCCGTGACGCCGAGACCTCAGGTCGGCAGAGTCATCAATGCCCCACCATCACTGCTGCGTCTAGTCACAGCGCCTGCTCATTACTTGTCAGTTTGTCCTAGTCTCCGTACCATTGTCTTTCCTTATTCTTTTCGAGCTGGTTATGTGAACATGGTAAAAAAATAAAATAAAATAAATTATGACTGGATGTGTGTTTGCGTGGATACTTGCGACCCATAACTTACCTTCGTTTTAAAGTATTATCCGCCTCCGACCTCTTTTAAAAATAATAATAATAATAATAATAATTTGATAATCGCAATCAGTAATACAAGCTGGATTGACATTTTGTGTGCACTGTATTCATGTAATGTAAAACTGTGGAGACAATGTGCAATAAAACGATGAAAATGTGAAGAAATTGTGTAGAGAAAAAAAAGGGATTCAAACAAGTTTTCGTACAACACTCATCAGGAATTTTCGTTGTACTAAAGGACACTGAAAACAAATTGAACTATTATAGAAAATCTAAGTTAGAGAAATAACACTAAGAACAACAGCAGTGAAAATTACAAGTGTGTATTTTAACAATGAAAGCGAGAGCAATAACGAATGTGTGTACTAACACTAAACTTGCAACTGAAAAATGAACAAAGCAGAGAAAGAAAGAAGGAAGGACAAAGTGATAACAAATAACAGCAGTACATTACACCTAGAACATTAACGGCCAAGCTTGGCCGCACCAAACATGACACTTTACTTGAACAATTTCAACCCAATTATACTATCTTTCTGTACACACAAATTAGGCTTATACAGACGCTGACAGATGGCTTCCAAAACTTTCAACTGTAGTCCATAACCATGACGACCACGGCACAATACAGTGAATGAAGAGTCGGAATACGAATTGCAACAATCAGGACTAGCCAACAGATGATTGTACACTGAAGACTTGCTACCACGAAACCTATGCACAACAAAAAATTTCACTGTTGTTCTTAGTGTTATTTCTCGAACTTAGATTTTGTGAGCAGACCGTGCGCCACTTGTCCGGTATCATGGAAAGACGCGAAAGTGTGCAGAATTTTGCTGCAAGTCCAAAAAAGTCACGTTTCGGAGCCTTGTATTGGGCTGCACGGCGGCGGGCTTCGCAGCCGTGAAGCAGGACTTTTGCCAGCACCCTCGTGACGTTTCAGATATGTGGCTTGATTATTGTAGTTGACGTTGATTTAGTAACTTTGGCAAGTTTGAGTCTTGTCCTGTCAAGAAGTCAGGTGGGATTCAGTACTAGGCAGTAGTGGAACGTGAGTGGTAGTCTTTGCCGATTTTTGAGGGTATCCTGGATTTGGTTTGCAGCGCTGTGCAAATCGCTTGCTGCGGAGGTCCTAGCACTGGATGTTGTATCAAAGGTACGACCTCGTAGCACGCCCTAAACCTAAACAAATTCAAAAATTGACTTGGGTCTGTAGGAGTCTGTGAGAGAACGCCCACTCCTGCCATTGTGACAGATTCCAGGGCCACGTTGAGGGACCCTATCCCACCACCCATGGCTGCTTCTGGACTTTTGTTTTTGCTTGGATCCCGTGCAAAAAATGCCATTCAGGGTTCGGCCGTCTGCCAAATGCGTGCCGGCGAAAATCAAACGCTGCTAGTCTTGGGGAATACTCTCTTTGTCTTGGTCAGCAGCCTGCATGTCGTCGTTCTCATCAGCTTCGGCAACACCACCGGTAGTATACATGTAGGTAGCGGGTCGCTTGGAATCGCCATTGGAGTCTCCAGTGTGTGCCGTGCGGAGAGAAGGGTGATCCACGCTAGCACCCTGACTGTGCTGCAGGCTAATAAGCAGGGCCAAGCCCAGGATGGCAAGAAACATGATTCTCATCTTGAAAAAAAAATGAATTTACCGCTGCCACCAATTTGTAGCGGGCCGCAGTCGCACGGAGCTGCAGCAGGTTGAGCCATGGGGGTCTGAGAAACGTGTAAAGTAACGAAGTTAGGTATAGAATGAAACAAAATGAATTTACCGCTGCCACCAATTTGTAGCGGGCCGCAGTCTCTCGGAGGCAAAAATACACAAGGGTCTCAGTGAACACACTGTAACTGACAATTAAAAGGTAACTATAACTGGCAATGAAATTAACTATAACTGGCCATGAAATTAACGGGCTCAAAAGAATCGTTAACAGCAGCTTTAATGCACAGGCAGACTCCGTATGCTAATGTACGGACGGGGATACGCTTACGTATGGGGATACAGTACGGGGATATGCTATCCTCTAAACACTATACACTATACGCTTTGAAGTCACCAGCGTGCCAACGCTACTCACGGACAGAATGGGCAAGAAAATGTGAAAAAAATGTAAATGCATATTTTTGGCTCCTGGGTGGCTTGCACACCGTGGCACTATGCCGGAATTTTGAGTTGTTTCCGGCCTGGAAAGCCTGTCAGTGTGGCGCAAGAACTTTTACATCATGTCCGGAGGGCCACCATAGTGGCGGGAGTGTGTGGAGAAATTTCCACTCAAATCCATTGAGAGACACCAAATTTACGGTCAATTGAATGCCATATGAAATTTATTGTCAAGTCTGCAGGAAAAGCTTCATTTCACAAGTAGAGAACAAGCAACAACTCCATTGATGTGAATGTGAAAATCGATTATGAAAAACATTTGACTTCGTTGATGCATGATGATGACGGCAGAGTTAGTTCTTTTTATTGCTTTATTAAAATTGTTGTCAACGCGGCGATTATTCAACTTCATGTGTGCTTCACTTTTCCATTTTCAGCCATAAAAACCTGCGCAGGCCTTAAAATCTACCACAGCACAACGCGTGCCCATGGTTGGAGTGGCTTAGCTTCCTCGTATGCTGATGCTGAGAAACAGTGCCAAGGTGGTGGAGGGTTTCAGCAAGTAAATTTGGCTTTCTCGCAGATGCAATTTAACCAAGATACACTCGACTGCCTCGCAGGAGCGACTAGGCGAACATGGTTTAAGGATCATCATTCCATAGGGTACCCAGACAAAGCTATAAGATGGGAAGGTGCTGATGCGAAATTTCGAGCCCTCTGCATCTCCCTTCACTATAGTAAGTACATTTGTATGTTTATGCTTGAATCAAAGTGAATACACTTCCTTTTAGGTGGGGAACAGCTCAAAGTAGGCCTGCTATTAAGCCTATTTTTCAGGTTTATTGAGTTTACTAAGGATATTATTACTTGGTCCGCTCATCTTTCAGCTTTGTTTATACGCCGCTAGGGTTTACCGGGTGTTAGCGGGAACGGACACGATTTACGTTTTTTTTGTTTTGTTTATATGTCGTCAAAGCTCACTAGGCAGCTCATTTCTTCCCAATTTTGGTTAGTAATAGGCACTTTGCCCCATTTTTTCAAATCGCGTTTTTTGGTAATCGATGGTGGTGGGTATCACAAGGTCACACAGAACATTTTTTTGAAATCCACACTGATACCACTCAGATATGAAGGGTTGAAGATAGGCAATTGCATAAGGCGAAATCAATACAATTTGTGGCACCAACAGCATCTTCAAAGTATTATCAGTGGATATAGTCACAAAACATCAGAGTGTTTTTTTCAAGCACACATCACTCACTTACACCAACAACTTTGCGGTCACAATTGCCGTATTCTTGACTATTCTGCGGTCACAATTGCCGTATTCTTGACTATTCTGAACTTTGATCTGTATTGTTTCGATCCATAATCACTATAGCAACTCCATAGCAACCCATAACAACGCCATAGTAACCCATAGTAACAGCTTCAGTTTGTTGTGAAATGAACTGATAACGACATACTGGCAGGCTCCTGCGGGTACTAAAGCGTAAGAGCTATAAAGACATTCTTCTGGCACAAAACAACAGAGAACTTCCACGTTGTACGCCGTACACCGCAAGGGTAAGTACGCGCGCGCACGTGTGTGCGCGAATTACTGCACAGGACACAGTCATGCCACTTCAAGTGATTCCAAATTGGCAAGAAGTTCCTCAGGACCTCTGTTGGTGGCTTCTTTCCATGGTGTGATATCTGCCTCCCTCTCATTCAACTGCTCCATGCAGCAGTCATGAATTGCCTGATGGTGAGCTTTGAAAGTTTGGTGAAGCGTGCCTGGCTGTGTATATCAAAGCATCCCCTCATCAGAGGGTTTCTCCAGCAGCCACTGTGCTTTTTGATTGTTCGTAAACATCAGTAGGCCTTCCAGCGCAACCGTGTCAAAACTTGGCTTTCAGTACGCTTTGAGAATTCACCCAGGTAGGACGACGCATCGTCGTTCTCCTCCGCCTAAAGCGCATACTTCTCAGTGCCTACGTCCATAATGTCTCCTTGCGCAGCGCTGCGCAAACCCTGGTAACTCTACTGTTTCCGAATGGAAAGACGACGCTGAAAACGATAAGCAACGTTTCAAACGCGATCAAACAACAGTTCTTTGTGAAAATACTCTTTGCTGGAAGTGTACGTGATCTACAAGTCGCAAAAATGTACGCACTATGACGTATGCGGGATCTACTGAAAGCTGAACGTCAGAGCAACACGATACGCCGAACTATCAGCCCGTACAACAAAGCATAGCGCGTACCTGTACAGGTTTGCGCGTACCTGTACAGTTTTGCTGGTGCTACGCAAGTACGCACTCTCACCTTAGCAAAATTTGACAGGTCTGGTCACGTGACTGAAGTGCCTAATAGTAAGTTAGTTTACTGAAAGGTCTAGCTACAGTTCGAGTGGATTTTGAGAGCGACGGGTGGGTGATTCTGATTGATACAGCGCCGCATCAAAATAGATAATCTTGGTAAGCTGTGCAGGCAAGAGCAGCGCAAGCCACAATAAAGTAATCGGCTACTCGGAATCAGCTCCATTTTGCTGAACGGCCAAGATCGCTCACCTCAGGGATCGCTCGTCAAGCTGAGATCTCAGCTCCCTTACCTCCAACTCAACGCTCGGAGTATCCAGTGCGTCGTGGAGATTTGCAAGTACTGTACGCGTCGTCGTCGTCGTTCAAAATAAAATCTTGCAAAGAACGGCGTCTGATTTAAACCACACAGGCTGTCGTACTGCCCACGCGAAGTCCTATAGAAAAGGCGACCGTCACTATCGACTTCTGATCACTTCAAGTGCACGCGTTCGTGTCCAAAGTCTAAGTTCATATTGTCGAAACATAAGCGACAATATTGCTGACGCGGACCAAGTATTATTATTTCTCCTTTATTCACTTCTTTCGAAGGCGATAAGCCAGACCCACCGGGAAAATATTTCCATGGGTGGGACAGCAAAAAGAAAGTGGAAAAATAAAAAGCTAAAAATCAATGGGACAAGAAATAGGGGAAGGAATAGGGGAAAGAAGAGGAAGAAAGGAAAGATCCTCAATTGTGGCTCCGAGGTCCTCCAGCAAGGCATTGATGCGTTTTCCCGTTGGGGACATAAGTGGAGGATCAAATGTGAGCCCTCCAAGACGCAGGCTAAGTCTATAGGCCACCATCGCCAGCCCTGGGAGCTCCCTCGAGCAGCATTTGATGGCACACCAGTCAGTGAAGAGAGTCGGCTGAAACTCCTGGGAGTCACCTTTGACGACAACAAGAGTACATAACCCCCTGGAGTGTGCAACTCGACTATGGGTGCTGTCAAGAGTACATAACCCCCCCAGAGTGTGCAACTCCCACATACCCTGCTGTCCCGACAGAATTTCAAGTTGACGTCATTATTAATGACGCAATGCTCCTTGCACCAGTGATTTACAACATGTGTACGGGTGTCAACGCATCACACGTTTTTCTTTGCAATAATTTGTACAGGATCGATCGGCTTCGGTCAACCACAGGTTCCGGATTCGTCTGATAATCCGTGTACAGTGCGCATTGCATCATCAAAATGACGTCAACTTGAAATTCTGTCGGGACAGCACCCATAGTGGAGTTGCACACTCTGGGGGGTTATGTACTCTTGGTGCTGTCCCGACAGAATTTCAAGTTAATGGCATTTTTATGATGCAATGCGCACTATACACGGATTACCAAACGAATCCGAAACCTGTGGTTGACCAAGGCCGATCTGATCCTGTACAAATTATTGCAAAGAAAAACGTGTGATGTGTTGACACCCGTACACATGTTGTAAATCACTGGTGCAAGAAGCATTGCGTCATAAATAATGACGTCAACTTGAATTTCTGTCGGGACAGCAGGGTATGTGGGAGTTGCACACTCTGGGGGTTATGTACTCTTGACGACACCCTGAGCTACTCCTTCCACCTCCGCTCCCTAGTTTCCCGTGCTAACCAGCGGATTGGCTTTCTGAAGCGAGCATCTCCCATTCTGGACACTGAGAGCCGCCAACACGTCTACAACAGCTTTGTGCGACCCACACTCGAGTATTGCCCCTTAGTGTGGTTGGGCTCACCATCGTCCCATCTTAAGAACCTGGACCAGATCCAGCGAAGGGCCCTCCACATATCGGAGCAGGTACTTGGCTCCCTAGCCTGGCAATTCGTCGCCTGGTAGCTGCACTTGTCTATACCTACAAGCTCCGCTATCTGGATGCATCCAGCCCTCTGAAGCAGATGCTGCCCAAACCAGCCACTCACCATGCCCCCAAGACGAGACCTACCCGTCAGTCTCTCCAGCTGCAGGATTCCCATCCATACCAAATGACAACTGGCCTGCCTGCCAACACCTGGAACGGCTGCTTTCAAGGATTCCCTGCTTGCATGGATGCAACGTGGAATGCCCTGCCACCAGACCTGTTCCACCACCCACCTGCCCAGCCCCACATGCAAAGCTTCAAGAAAAGGTGTGCCATCATCTTCTTGCTCAGGACTGGCTCTCTGCTACTTATGCACTTTGAATATGCTCGCCAACGCTTTCCCTGTTCTTGTTAGTGTTCAGCTGCCTAGCTTATAACCCTGCTGCCATCATCACCAATATCCTGATTCTCATGCACATTTCCCAGAACCTGCTATCCATCGCAGTCCCCATCACCAGGAGCACTGTGCTCTTCTATCTCAGAGCTCTCTCCCTCTCTCCCTCTCTTTCTCTCTCTCTCTCTCTCTCTCTCTCTCTCTCTTTCTCTCTCTCTCTCTTTCTCTCTCTCTTTCTCTCTCTCTCTCTCTCTCTCTCTCTCTCTCTCTATATATATATATATATATATATATATATATATATATATATATATATACTCAATCTGCGGACAGAACTGTTTCGTCCTTTGTGGACTCGTCAGCGCAGCACAGAGGAAATGAGGCCGAACCTGATAGCAATGGAAATAAAAATTTCCAATCGGCCCGAACGTACCTGTATATATATATATATATATACACACAACAACAAGGTTGTCAGTTTCATAACACTAAAAGCTTTTCACCCATTTTCATCAGTAGATTCATGGGAATGAGCAAGAACGAAAACGAAGCCAGAATTTATACTGGGGGTGGAGAATCAGCAAGAATATTCTTACGCGCCTCAAGTTCACACTTCACTACCATAAGAATGTATGGAGCAGTGGAAAAATGCGGGAAACAACACATGAGGGGAATGCAGTACCAGAACAAACACGTGATATATATATATATATATATATATATATATTTATTTATTGCTCTCTTTCTCTCTCTCCCTCTCTCTTTCTCTCTCTCTCTCTCTCTCTTTTTCTCTCTCTCTCTCTCTCTCTCTCTCTCTCCCGATAATTATTAGCTCCCCGTTTTCTTTTGATGCGTTTGCTGTGCAGTGAAGCCGAGACCCTAGGTCGGTGGAGCACATCAGACCCCGTCACCACGTCCACGATTCATGCCTGCTATGTTGCACCGCTGCTTTGCATGTCATGATTGGAAGCTGTGGCCTTATTTTTAAAAAAAAGAACCTCATCCTGAACTCCTCTATTATTGCTGTATGTGCATCGCACGGCCCAAGTCTACTGAATTTACTAATGTCAGTATGATCAACATTGCTTGTGGGGCTTCCAGGCGTAACAAAGACCTACCACGCGACAAAACAGAGAATACATCATCGGAATACCGCTCACGACAACTAGCACTGCCCGACAGGTGATACTTGATTGCCGAGGTACTGTTTCCCTGACCCGACGACTTGGCCGTTGTCACCTCCGATCCTGCCGCTTGCCAGTCTTTCCTATTACGCCCTGCGTCCCTGCAATTCCGGTTGCCTCGGTCGACATCAGTGTGCTGCTCCACGTTCAGTCTGTCCTGCTTCCGGGACTCGAACCAGGGACCTTGCTATTCGCGAGCAATGTTCTAACCAACTGAGCTACAGTATGACTCTTGTCCACATTGATGGTAAATCTATCCTTCTTCGATCAATCCATATCTGGCTTGCATCATACTGGCAACTCACACAAATCAAGGGGGCCCTCGGCCATTCGCTTGATATCATGGGGAGCGCAACAAACTATGTCCACTGCGAGCAAATACAAATTGCAATTTCAAATTTGGTATGGTGTAGTGTGGTATGTTGTAGTGTTTGGACTTCACGGAGAATTTCAAAGTACAGGTAAAACCTGCTCCAAAGACCACCTGGACTCAGCGACCACCTGCTGTGGACGACCGTATTTGTCTGTCACCGTCCGTTTCACGTACATTCTGACTCGCATTCTGCGACCACTCGCTCGACGCGACCGGCTTACAACTGGTACCGATTGCCAGTTCAATGACCACTTCAAGACTTATGTTGAGCCAATAAAAAATGTAGAAAGGAAACGGACATTTTTGCAGTTTCCATAATCTTGAACTTTCCGAGTTGGAAGGCTGTCGGTTAGCGCTACGGAGATGTGTTAAAGCTAGGTGTCAGTACGCCGAATGTCTCAGTACTCTGTCAGTTTTGTGCCTAGTTGTTGCACTTTCTGACTGTATATAGTATCTGGTTACAGTGATGGAGAGTTACTCTTAACTCTTATCCATATGTCCTTTTCCTTTCACTATATTGTCGTTATCGTTATTTTCTTTCGAGATTTGTGTCGTTCTGAACTAGATAATTTCCACCTTGCCATGAGTGTTGTCATCTTATTATCTTTACGCTATTTAAGTTTTAGTCTTCCCAACTTAAGCCATTTCCTGTTCAATCCTTGATGAGAAGGTACCGAAAACATTCGGATGCTTTATGACAGGTGCCTTATTTTACTGGATGTGTGTGTTTGCGTGGATACTTGCGACCTAATACTTACCTTCGTTTTTTAAATTAAGTTGAAGACACCACTGCGTTATTTTCTTCCTATGCAAGTCGCAACTCCGGTTTGGAGTTGTTTTTCATCTCTCTTTTTCTTTCCCCAATAGTTGCTGCTACACTCACTGATCAATAAGGACAGACATACAGCATTCCCTCACTAGTGGGACCATTTTTATTAGGCTAGGGCCTGTTTTGGAGTTCCCACTCTAAATAAAGAATACAAACAACAAACAAACAAAAAAACTGCAGCTGTGTTTATGGTTGATAAATATGGTGGTAAAGACACACCTGGTCATATGGCGGTAAACACACGCCTGCCCACACATGCTCTCTCTCAGCTGCAAAGTTCTGGCACAGAGCTCTCCTTCTCACCACCACCACCACCATCAGTTCATGCCTGGCGCCTAGTCGTTGCATGGTTGGCGGTATCCACCATAGCAAGCTGGTACATCAAGTAGTGCATGGCACATAAAATATGACACAGCAACGACATAGCTTAATTGCAACGTATCTTGTTCTTGTTTATGCTTAGAGAGCGTGTATGAGCAGGCTTGTGTTTATCACCATATTGCCAGGTGTGTCTTTACCACCATATTTATAAACCTTTTTTAAATTTTAACTGGTTTTGAGGGAAAGAGACAAATGGGAAAAGTCTGAAGAAAAAATTGACTGTCACCACCAGGACTCGAACCAGGGACCCTCGCTTGTAGCCAGCGATGCTCTAACCACTGAGCTATGGTGTAGTCGTCATCCAAGCAGAGACCGTTCAACGTTGTCTTCAGACTTCGTAACTCACACTTCCTGTGAATCCACACAAAAATTACTATTATTATTACTATTTTGTAGTCTTCATCCCAGCAGAGACCGTTCAAAATTTTCTTCAGACTTCGGAAATCACACTTCCTGTGAATCCAGGACGCAGCTCACACACTTCACGTACTAACTAGCACGCGGGGAGGGGGGGGGGGGGAGGTTCCTCACTAAACTTTTTCGATCGTTGAAAATTATCGATAATGCTGGATAGCCCCTTATGCAGTGGCCCGGTGAATGTGAACTACTGTAAGAGTTGAAAGTGTGACGAGTCTAATGTTTATCGATGTGCAAAATGTCTTACTTTGCGGGCACAAAGTCTAACGACCTTGCCAGCAGGCCCAGCACACACATGTCGTATTAGTTCTCCAGCACAGAGCTGAGAAGGAATGTGTAGCGTTTCCAGATTTTATTGATGGATTCTTTCTTGTTAATTGAAACACTAGACTTTGTGTCCCGTTAGGGATTCAACTCTTACAGTAAGCCATGTCCACCAACTGGCATGTGATGAGTCGTAGCACAACTCCAAGCTCAACCAGCTTGAATTTCTCCTCCGATGATGACCTACCCCTGTGTCTACATGTCTTACTGTCATACAGGACGCGACATCGATCGTTCGTCTCTCAAGCTCACGTTTAAAAACAGAGGTGAGTGCGAGTAAACCTAATGAATGATGTTCCAGAGCAAATGCCCAGTCTACTTGACCTTTGGAGTGGCTGTTGCATGTAGGTTAGATAAAGAGAGAGGAAAAAGTGGTGCAAATTTGGCAGGTACATGATCACACCACAGCCTTTACATGTAAACAAGAATACAGAACAGAACAACAAGGACAATCAAGCGGCTTGTTTGCTGCTACTTCAAGGTTCATGCTCACGCAATCATCAGGCAATAGGGAGTTTCGCTCTACTGAATTACGTATGAAAATAATGTATGAACTGCACGGAATTTTCATACGTAAAAATCAGAGCTGTTGGGTTTCGCTCTACGTGATTTCTCCATGATTGCTAAACATGCGTTGTTGCTTTGGAGACGTGTTGCATGCACCCACCGTATGCACCATGAACCGAAACCGCGTTTTCCATGATATTATGCACGTGGTGTACGGTGTGTGTGTGTACCTTGTGTTTCGCGCGGCTTGAATGTTGCCATGGACAAATGCGGAAGATGCGGAAAAATATTTCAAAAAGTCCTACGGAGTACCCAACGTAGGAAAGAGCTTTCCTACGGAAATCCGTAGCGAGATTTACGTATGAAAGTTGCCCTCGCTCCCCGGCGCTTACGACATACGGATTTTCATACGTAATTACGTAGAGCGAAACCTCCCTACTATGAAGATTGGGTGCCGACCATGCTGGTATATATGCCAGGAGAGGTTGGTGTAAAAAGCTGTGTGAGAATGTTGGGGGTAGCGGTGTTATTTTCCTTTCGATGAGACGTAGTGCTCAATACCAGGCAGAGCGTAATACAGAACAGAACAACAAGGACAATCAAGCGGCTTGTTTGCTGCTACTTCAAGTTTCATGCTCCCGCAATCATCAGGCAACATGAAGATTGGGGGCCGACCATGCCGGTATATATGCCAGGAGAGTGTGGTATAAAAGCTGTGTGAGAATGTGGGGTGTTGAGCACTGTCAGCACTCTGGGTATACCCTCCGGTGAATTAGCTCCCTCTTTCCATGGTAGAGCACTCTTACCTTAGCTGTGCTACCCTAACAATGGACACTCCAAGGCGCTTCAACCTCGGATACTCTCTGAAGAATATCCCCTTGCCTAGCCACAAGGAGTACGCACCACGTCTCATCGAAAGGAATATAACATTTTCCGGATCCCTCTGTAACAGGTTTAATCAAACTTGAAAAGTAAGAGGCCTGGTTGAGCGTGCCTCGACCAGTTATATGCAAAATGTGATAGTATACATGTGGCAATGGCGCCAATGAAGGTGCTAATAGACAGGCGTAAGACGCATGAGGTGCGAGGGAGTGTAAAGTTGTAGAGACCAGGGGAAAACTGTTACATCATCCCCCTCCTATGGAGAGGAAGGAGCTTATAACCCAAATGCTCAAGTGGAATAGAGTACAATAAGCGCAAACACGTGCGAGACGAAAAAAGGCTTCGCACTGAAGTAACACAATAAGACGACTGAAACTCCATGCAAATAAAGTGTAATAAGCTCAACAAATGTGTAAGGTGAAACTAGAAGTTCAACTGCAAAACTCAGTGGGCAGAAGCCAAGGTTTTGTACTTCTGAAGTGGAACAATGTCATTACCAGATTCATCCAACAAATAATGTTCAGGCTCCCAAGTGGCATCAGAGTAGCCTTGCCACTTGACTAGGTACTGAAGCTGATTCTGCCGGCGGCGGTGACTGAGAATGTTCTCCACCACATAGCGGGCATGACCATCAAGGTCCGTGATAGGCGGAGGCGTAGGCTGTCTCCTATTAGGAATAGCGTTCTTCTCGTAGGCACGGAGTGCCGACACATTAAATACCGGGTGACAGCGGCTGGTATGAGGCAACTTGAGCTTGTAGGCATTCGGGCCGACCACATGGGTTATAGGAAAGGGGCCAAACCACTTGGGGCGAAATTTATGGGATGGTCGGTCCCGAGCTTCAGGAGTCAGGAGGAAATCCCGGTAGACCATTACCAAATCTCCCACCTTCAGCTTTCCCTCGACCCTTGTCCGATCTGCATAGAAGGCCTGACGAGCTTGAGCTGCCACTAGCGCATCTTGTGAGATCTTGACCGCGTCTTGTCTTGCTTGCAACCAATCAGCTGAATCTCTGCCTCCCTGAATAGGGTTGAGGAAGTCGGGTGGCGCTCTGGGATTTAGACCGTAATTTAAGAAGAACGGTGTGTTTCCTGTAGATGATTGAGTAGCGCTGTTGATAGAAAACTCACAGAGAGGTAGGAGCATATCCCAGTTATCTTGTTTATGATTTACAAAAGCCCTCAGCACATCCTCTACTATTCTGTTTACTCGTTCAGTTAGGCCATCTGTCTGAGGGTGATTGGCAGTACTAAATGCTAGTTTCGTTCCTAAGCGATCAAACAATTCCTGAAAAAATGCTGCCGTAAATCTTGGATCACGATCACATACAATACTAGAACTCAAACCATGAAGTCGAAATACATGTTGAATATACAGATCAGCACTTCCTTTAGCGTCAATAGTAGAGGAAGTAGGTGCTAAATGTACACACTTTGTCAAGCGGTCTACAAATACATATATAGCATCATGACCTGTATCGGTCCTAGGCAAACCCATGATAAAATCCATCGAGATATCCGCCCACGGCTGACTGGGCACTGGTAAATTCTGCAAGAGACCAGTTTTTAGCTGGCCGCCTTTAACTCGTTGGCAGACGTCACATGACTTGACAAACGCCTTTACATCCAGTCCCATTCTGGGCCAATAGAAATATCTAGCGAGTCTGAAATAGGTGCGATCTCGACCGGGATGCCCCGCAGTCACACAGTCATGGTATTCTTGAAGCAGGGCGAGTCGGAGTTTGCTACTCTTTGGAATGCATAACCTGTTCTGTGGTGAAGATCTGAGATAAAGATAACCGGGTGTTTCATTTAGAAGGTAACGGTCGTGCAGATTGTCATGGCTTGAATTTTTCAGTCTCCTGATAATGGGAGCAAGATCCTTGTCGCACTTGTAACCGCTGACAATTAACTGCGCTAAGTCTGGATTAATCTCTAGGGTATGCTCTATGGCATTCAACTGAATGTTAGGATAGGATGACCCGCCTATTTCAGAATCACTGAACAGATCTGGACGGCGTGAAAGCGGGTCGGCAATGTTTTTCTTTCCTGGTTTGTGAAAGACCGTAAAGTCATAGTCAGCTAAAAACTCTACCCATCTTGCCTCACGCTTGGTGAGAGTCGGTTTGGTTCGTAAATAACAACACCCATATTATCAGTCATCAGGTCAAAGTGGCGGAATAGATAGATTCTCCAGCACTTTAATGCAAATACCACAGCCAACGTTTCCCTCTCGGCCGCAGTATAGTTGCGTTCTGCAGCTGACAGTTTCCGACTACAATAGGCTACGGGATGCAAATCCATATCTTCTCCCTGCTGCAGGAGCACACCCGCCACGGCAAAGTCACTTGCGTCAGTTTCTACCGTGAAGCTTTTCTCAACATCGGCCAGTTGCAACACTGGCGCCTCGAGTAATGCTGATTTTAGAGACTCGAATGCCTTCTGTCTAGCAGCGCTCCATTCAAAGCGTGAATTTTTTTCCGGTGATTTCTTCTAATGGACGAGAGATGGTCGAGTGTCGATCTATGAACCTTCGGAAATAGTTTGCAAAGCCAAGAAACTTCCTCACATCAGTTACTGACGACGGAGTTGGCCATGTTTCCACAGCACTTATCTTCTTGGGATCAGGGGAAATTGATGTGCCGTTGATTTTATGCCCCAAGAAGAGAACTTCTCTCACGCCGAATTCGCATTTAGACTGTTTGCAATACAGCTCACTATTTCTAAGTGTTTCTAGAACTGTTTGAAGATGATGCTGATGATCTTCCCAGGTCTTGCTGAAAACTAGAATGTCATCCAAGAATACTACAACGAATTTTCGGAGATGCGGTTGCAGAATAGAGTTCATGAGTGACTGAAAGGTGGCCGGGGCATTAGTCAGCCCGAATCCCATGACTCTAAATTGGAAGTGGCCGAACGGCGTATTAATGGCCGTCTTAGAAACATCCGAGTCTTGAATTCTGATTTGATTGTAGCCTGACCGCAAGTCCAACTTGGAGAAATATGCACTGCCCTGGATCGTGTCGAATAAGTCATCAATATTAGGAAGACAAGCTTTGTTTTTGATCGTAATTCTATTCAATTCTCGCCAATCGCACACCATTCTCAGAGTACCATCCGACTTTTTCACAAAAAACACAGGTGCACCGTATGGCGACTTACTTGGCTCAATGAATCCCTTCTCAAGTAATTCTGATAGCTGTGACTGGAGCTCGTCCATCTCTGGTTTCGGCAGGCGGTAGGCGGGTCGAGACGGTGGTCTGGCTCCATCTTCTATCTGGATTTCATGGTCGACTGGTCTCTTCGGTGGAAGCTCATTCGGCAGCTCGTCTGGAAATAAATCCTGGTACCTCTTGAGCAGGTTCTGGATGTCTTGTTGCTCTGATTCCTGGAGTTGTGGCCCGGAACGATTCTCCTCGTTTGCAGCAGTGACCCATGCAAGAAACCCCTCGGCTCCACTCCTCAGGGCATGACGAGCTTGTCGGCCACTGATAAACATGCTTTCCACAGATGGCCGGTCGGCTGTCGGCGGGTTAGCTGAAGGCAATTTGGCAACAAAGGGCTCACCGTCCAACTGAACTTCGTTCGTACGGAAGTTGATGCTGGGGTTGTTCCTTGTAAGCCACGGCTTGCCAAGAATAGCGTCGTAGCGAGTCAGGGGATACACAGTAAAGTGCTGTTCCTCACTGAAGCCCCCGACTGTCACCCTTAGCGTGCGTGTGGAAATCTGCGGGACCTCGCTGGTCGAGCCGTCCGCCAATGTTACGCTCAGCACTGCTGAGCTTGCATCCGTGTCAAGATGATGCTTTCGAACAAAACTGTCTGCAATGAAGTCATGCGTCGAACCGGAATCTATCAGCATCACTGCACGGCGACCGCCGATCTTTCCCTG